GTATATTGGCAACACTGCACTAAAGAAGACCCAGGCCACTCAGTAGAAGACTTGGGACACTCAGTAGAGGACTTGGGGAACCTAGTAGAAGACCCAGGGAACTCAGAAGAAGATTTAGGCAACTCAGTAGAAGACCATTAGCATTCAGGAGAAGATGCAGTCCACTGAGTAGAAGACTTGAGAAACTCAGTAAAAGACCTGGGGAACTTAGCAGAAGACATACAGAAATCAGTAGAAGATCTGGAGAACGCAGTAGAAGACCTACAGAAATCAGTAAAAGACCTGGGGAACTCAGCAAAAGACCTACGGAAATCAGTAAAAGACCTGGGGAACTCAGTAAAAGACCTACGGAAATCAGTAAAAGACCTGGGGAACTCAGTAGAAGACCTACAGAAATCAGTAGAAGATCTGGGAAGCTCAATAGAAGACCTACAGAAATCAGTAAAAGACCTGGGGAACTCAGTAGAAGACCTACAGAAATCAGTAAAAGACCTGGGGAACTCAGTAGAAGAGCTACAGAAATCAGTAAAAGACCTGGGGAACTCAATAGAAGACCTACAGAAATCAATAAAAGACCTGGGGAACTCAGCAGAAGACCTACAGAAATCAGTAGAAGATCTGGGGAGCTCAGCAGAAGACCTTGGGACTGTGCACTGGGTGCCAGGCTCTAGCAATACCGCTCCTTAAAATATTACCTGCAGATTTTGAACTATCTTGTATCATCTTTTGGAGTAAATAGTGGACTATTGCTGCTGTGGATGACAAGCTGGAGTCCTTCACTGGCAGTTCCCTTGCAGGGCTGTGATTAGCTGGCTGGTTTGACTTCTAATTAGGGCAGATACAGAAACCAATGAACTGAAATTTCTTACAGAGGAGGTTTAAGTGGCTTAGTTTGAAGAAGAGTTGTGGAAAGTTTACACAGGTAGATGGAAGTGTAAGTGGTGAGAGATGAGAGTATTTACAGGCTGAATGAGACCTCTATTTTCACACAAAGCTCTCACAACCTTCACTGAGGATTCACACATTTTAAACTTGGATTCACCTTGAACAGGGGGTGCTCAACCCTTTGAAGAGTGAGAGCCGCTTAAGTGATTTGGTAGCCAGTTGCGGGCCACAATGAAATGAAATGGCTCTGAATTTTAAAGGAACCTTTTTCTCCTGCAGCCACTGAATTCTGGCCAGCTTTCAGCGGCTGCGGGAGGAAAATATAGAGGATCGGTTGCTGTATACATAGACCCCCCCAAAAATCACCAGGCCAGGAATGTGGGGAAGAGGCCCTTGTCCTCATCAACATGGGTGCAGGGTGCTTTGCCAGTGGGATCCGCCTCTGCAAGGTGGCCCCCATATGTTGAGGGCATGGGACCTGGTATGGTTCAGGAGGGGGAGCACATGCTTGCCCCCTTCCCCCTTTTTTCCTGGCTTGTCAGGCTGCATGCTCAGATAAGGATCTAGTATGGTATTTTGGGGGAGCACTCATTCTTTTTGTTTGCTTGATTTTTGCATGAGCCCCCTCCCCCCCCCAAATCCAAACTAGACCCGAAGGGCTGCCTTGCTGTATATGCTGCCCTCACCGCAACTCCTGTGCAAGTGTAAAACAGAATGTGACATGGAGGTTGCAAGGGCCCCCTGGAGCATGGGGCAGGGTCGCTGTTGCGACCTCTGATGCTACACCAATGGCTGGGGGTGTGTGGTAAAACCTATGGGGTTTAACTGCCCCCCAAACCTTACTGTTCTGAGCCCCCTATAAGGCTGCTTTGACACTGATGCACTGCGGTTTACCTGCACCACAGGTACAGTGCAGTATACCTGTGGATTAGCTGTGCTTTGCCATAGAGTTCTATTACATCTTGCACCAAACCCGCAGGATAGAATAGAAGTGCTCTTCCCTGATTTGAGGTCGAGGGCCACATCAGCGGGCTCAGAGAGCCACATGTTGACCAAGGGGCACCACAGGTTGAGCACCCCTGATCTAAAAAACACGTGAATCCAGGGTCAAAGTTGTATGAAAACATTCTTTGATGACAATCAGTAGCACTATATATGATATTTTGGGCTGGACTGAATCATACTTTGCGACTGGGTGCATTGCATACCCTGCTCACAGACCCCCCACAATCACCAGACCAGGATTGTGGGGCCCCTGTCCTCATCAACATGGAAGCAGGGTGCTTTGCTGATGGGATCTGCCTCTGCAAGGTAGCCAGGGGCGGACTGACGATTCAGGCACTCGGGCACTGCCTGAGGGCCCAGGGTCAGTAGGGGGCCCCATGAGGTGCCCCTGGTACCTTTCATAGGCTTTTTGGGGTATGGTTTGAGTGTGGGCAAGGTAGCCCCCCTATGTTGAGGGCATGGGACCTGGTATGGTCCAGGAGGGGGAGCACATTCTCAGCCCCTTCCCCCCTTTTTCCTGGCTTGTCAGGCTGCATGCTCAGATAAGGATCTAGCAGGGACAGGCTGACCATTTGGAAACTCGGGCGCCACCAGAAGGGCCCGGGGTCAGTAGGGGGCCCCATGAGATGTCCCTGGTAACTTTTTCATAGGCTTTTTTGAGTTTGGGCAAGGACACAGGGGCCCCATGATCCTCTATTGCCTGGGGGCCCCATGAGTTGTCAGTCCGCCCCTGAAGGTAGCCCCCCCTATGTTGAGGGCATGGGACCTGGTATGGTTCAGGAGGGGGAGCACATGCTCGCCCCCTTCCCCCCTTTTTCCTAGCTTGTCAGGCTGCATGCTCAGATAAGGATCTAGTATGGTATTTTGGGGGGAGCACTCATGCTTTTTGGGGGGAGCATTTTGGGGGGGAGCACTCATGCTTTTTGGCATTTGCATATGGCATTTTGGGGGGAGCACTCATGCTTTTTGGCATTTGCATATGGCATTTTGGGGGGAGCACTCATGCTTTTTGGGGGGAGCATTTTGGGGGGAGCACTCATGCTTTTTGGCATTTGCATATGGCATTTTGGGGGGGGCACTCATGCTTTTTGGCATTTGCATATGGCATTTTGGGGGGAGCACTCATGCTTTTTGTTTTCTTGATTTTTACATGAGCCCCCCCCAAATCAATACTAGACCCGAAGGTTTGCCTCTGGATTTTCAGTCTCACTGCCAACTCTTCTCCTAGGATTCTGGTCCAGCGCTCTACTCTCACATGTACTGTGGAGTCCAGATAAAATCTGGCCTTATCACCGGCCATACAGAGATCACAGACAGGAGTCTGTAGCCCCTCACATTCAATGAAAAAGGAATTCCTGACTCTGAAATGATGGGAAAAAAAAAAATTAAAAAGCTGCGTGGTGTCTGGAAAATGCCAACGTATGTTTTGGCAAGCTCGTCCGTCAGATAGGAAGAGCGCACGGCCAGAAGTAACGGTCGTGATAAAGGGGGACATCTGCCGGGCCGGTTAGTTTGGATAAGCCCCAGTATTGGAGTTTGTTTTGATGTACGAGGAGCCGGCGAGCTTTGTGATTGGAGATGTCCCTGCAGGTCCCGCGGTGATAAAGACAGCAGCATGTATGGGCCAGATAGTGAGGGAGATGCAGCCTCAGCAACCCTTATCAGCTCCTCTCCTGTCCTCTAACACACACTGCTGAATGAACGTGAGCTGACCACACTGCGCACACTGCTAACTGACGCTTCCAGGAGACGGCCAACACATCATCCTGCTGAGGTCTGGAGATCCCCAGAGGAGATTTCTAAGAAATAATGTCCTAGGAGGTGTCTGATGTCTCTTATAATGATGGCATTGATGACCAGAACCGGGAGATTTCCCTTACTGGGTTGTAGAGCTGGGAAGTGCAGAGATCTCATTAAAGTCTATACAATCCCCCCACCCCCCTCCCAAAAAAACCTGAAAATCTGTCAGCAGATCCACCGCTGAACAAAACTACACTTCTCTGTTCTGCTCACGGCATTCACCATTGTTAGACGTACAACTTGGCGACAACCTAGAATACAAGCTGGTTGCAAGTTATAGTCCAAATTACGTACGAGGTCAAAAACAATTCAGTTACCGATTAAAGTTCAGGTTAGTTACAAGTCATAATACAAGATAGAAACAACAAGTTATAATATAGATACAAGTTAGAATACAAGATAGAAACAACAAGTTGTAATATAGATACAAGTTAGAATACAAGATAGAAACAACAAGTTATAATATAGATACAAGTCATAATACAAGATAGAAACAAGAAGTTATAATATAGATACAAGTTATAATACAAGATAGAAACAAGAAGATATAATATAGATACAAGTCATAATACAAGATAGAAACAAGAAGTTATAATATAGATACAAGTCATAATACAAGATAGAAACAACAAGTTATAATATAGATACAAGTTATAATACAAGATAGAAACAACAAGTTATAATATAGATACAAGTCATAATACAAGATAGAAACAACAAGTTATAATATAGATACAAGTCATAATACAAGATAGAAACAAGAAGTTATAATATAGATACAAGTTAGAATACAAGATAGAAACAAGAAGTTATAATATAGATACAAGTTAGAATACAAGATAGAAACAACAAGTTATAATATAGATACAAGTAATAATACAAGATAGAAACAACAAGTTATAATATAGATACAAGTCATAATACAAGATAGAAACAAGAAGTTATAATATAGATACAAGTTATAATACAAGATAGAAACAAGAAGATATAATATAGATACAAGTCATAATACAAGATAGAAACAAGAAGTTATAATATAGATACAAGTCATAATACAAGATAGAAACAACAAGTTATAATACAATTTAGTTTCATGTTATAATACAAGATAGATAAATGTTATTATTATTTCAGGTACTTAGATTGTACGCCCCTTGAGGGTTAGGGACTGATGTGAATGTACAATATATATGTAAAGCGCTGCGTATATTGATTGAGCTGTATGAGTACCTGAAGTTACAATATACGGTAGATACAAGTTATAATACAATTTATATTTTTTCCCCGGACCCTGCATTCACTATATCCGCTCTCCCCGGACCCCGCATTCACTATATCCGCTCTCCTCGGACCCGACATTCACTATATCAGCTCTCCCCGGACCCTGCATTCACTATATCCGCTCTCCCTGGACCCTGCATTCACTGTATCCGCTCTCCCCGGACCCCGCATTCACTATAGCCGCTCTCCCCGGACCCCGCATTCACTATATCCGCTCTCCCCCGGACCCCGCATTCACTATATCCGCTCTCCCCAGACCCCGCATTCACTATACCTGCTCTCCGCGGTCCCCGCATTCACTATATCCGCTCTCCCCGGACCCCGCATTCACTATATCCCCTCTCCCCGGACCCCGCATTCACTATATCCGCTCTCCCCGGACCCCGCATTCACTATATCTGGTCTCCCCGGACCCCGCATTCACTATATCCCCTCTCCCCGGACCCCGCATTCACTATATCCAGTCACCCCAGACCTGGCATTCACTATATCCGCTATCCCCGGACCCAGCATTCACTATATCCGCTCTCCCCCGGACCCCGCATTCACTGTATCCGCTCTCCCCGGACCCCGCATTCACTATATCCCCTCTCCCCGGACCCCGCATTCACTATATCCGCTCTCTCCGGACCCAGCATTCACTATATCCGCTCTCCCCCGGACCCCGCATTCACTATATCTGCTCTCCCCGGACCCCACATTCACTATATCCGGTCACCCCAGACCTGGCATTCACTATATCCGCTCTCCCCGGACCCAGCATTCACTATATCCGCTCTCCCGGACCCAGCATTTACTATATCTGCTCTCCTCGGACCCGGCATTCACTATATCCGCTCTCCCCGGACCCGGTATTCACTATATCCGCTCTCCCACAACACCCCACATTCACTATATCTGCTCTCCCCAGACCCCGCATTCACTATATCCGCTCTCCCCGGACCCCGCATTCACTATATCCGCTCTCCCCGGACCCCGCATTCACTATATCCGCTCTCCCTGAACCCCGCATTCACTATATCCGCTCTCCCCGGACCCCGCATTCACTATATCTGCTCTCCCCGGACCCTGCATTCACTATATCCGCTCTCCCCGGACCCCGCATTCACTATATCCGGTCACCCCGGACTCTGCATTCACTATATCCGCTCTCCCCCCGGACCCGGCATTCACTATATCCGCTCTCCCCCCGGACCCTGCATTCACTATATCCGCTATCCCCGGACCCCGTATTCACTATATCCGTTCTCCTTGGACCCCGCATTCACTATATCCGCTCCCGGAACCAGATCTCTCCCCTGTCCTTGGCCATGCAGCTGAGGAGAGGCTTGTCTCCTCCCCCACCTTGTCTCAGTGATTGACAGTAGAAAGGAGTACAGAACTCCTCCAGATCCTGTGCTTCCCCATGCAACTGTAGAGGGGCTCTTCTCTGCCCTCCACATCTCAGCAGTTGGCAATAGAGAGGAGGACAGAACTCCTCCTACAGATCCCGCTCCTCTCTGTGTAGCTGCAACACCCCCTCGTCTCCGCCTCCCCTGGTCTCGGGATTCTGCAGGCTGTGGCAGCTGACTCCTGCCCTCCTCTGGTCCTTCTCCAAACCCTGCACTTTCTGCTTCCCAGCTCCGCCCTCAGCTTCTTCTCAGCAGCAGCACAAATTAAGGGGAATGCACTGTGATATTAGGGTGGGTGGAGGACTCTTGACTTCTGATGTTGCGGGGGGCTCTTGACACCTGAAATAAGGGTGGGTGGAGGACTCTTGACTTCTGATGTTGCGGGGGGCTCTTGACACCTGAAATAAGGAGGGGTGGAGGACTCTTGACTTGTGATGTTGCGGGGGCTCTTGACACCTGAAATAAGGAGGGGTGGAGGACTCTTGACTTGTGATGTTGCGGGGGGGCTCTTGACACCTGAAATAAGGAGGGGTGGAGGACTCTTGACTTGTGATGTTGCGGGGGCTCTTGACACCTGAAATAAGGGTGGGTGGAGGACTCTTGACTTCTGATGTTGCGGGGGCTCTTGACACCTGAAATAAGGGTGGGTGGAGGACTCTTGACTTGTGATGTTGCGGGGGGCTCTTGACACCTGAAATAAGGGTGGGTGGAGGACTCTTGACTTCTGATGTTGCGGGGGGGCTCTTGACACCTGAAATAAGGGTGGATGGAGGACTCTTGACTTCTGATGTTGCGGGGGGGCTCTTGACATCTGAAATAAGGGTGGGTGGAGGACTCTTGACTTCTGATGTTGCAGGGGCTCTTGACATCTGAAATAAGGGAGGGTGGAGGACTCTTGACTTCTGATGTTGCGGGGGGCTCTTGACATCTGAAATAAGGGTGGGTGGAGGACTCTTGACTTGTGATGTTGCGGGGGGCTCTTGACACCTGAAATAAGGGGGGGGGGCCATGGGGGGTTGTAGACATCTGCTTATAATTATTATGGAAATAATACGATTCTATGCCAGTTGAATAGGAGGGTCCCACACCGCTGGTCTCATGAAGAGTAGAAACATTAATAAAGTCTTCCACATTCAACCCTTTGAGGGCAACCACAATGCAGACGCGGCCCGTGATGAAAGTACGTTTGACACCCTTGGGTTGGAGGGCTTACTTGTACATTATTGGAGTCCCTGAGAGATGGAATACAACTAGGTGGTGTAATTCCCAATCATCTATAAATCCAAGTAGATGGGGTCCCTGGGTGAAGGCTGAACAAAGATGGCGTTGTCCTTCTGGGGAGAAAAGCAGATGAAGGCGTTGGGGTCATGAAGTCATGGGGAAGGAGCGTTCCATTGACATAATACTCATGTTCCATTTAACATGGAACTGAAATCTGAAGACAGGTCCACTTTACCTGTATATGGTCCCTTTGATCCGCTCCGTATTTTACCAGCACTGGATTGTCCTCGTCTGATCTCATAAAGACAAGATGGCTTCTCATCTTCCGGCTCCTGATGTCTTGCTCATTCCCCTTCCCCCCCGGGGGCCCCAGCTGGTCCAACTGAAGGGGTCTGTTGTGCTGAAGGGTCCCTTGCCGGTAAAGTTCTATTGAAGTCCAGCACAATCCCGGATGGATTCTGTTATTATCTGTGCTGGAAATGAAGTCTGTGCCCTTCCAGTCACCCTGTTATTATAAAGCCGTTTCAAATTATCCTCAGGCCGCGCGTCCATTCAGCGCCGTAGTCTTTGTGGTCTTGTTTTCTTTACCAATAATCATTTTTTTTTTTTAGTAGAGATCCACTTAACCGACGCCCAACTTCTAATAACCCTCTGGGCTCCCACAGGCACAGAGACGTCCCTCTTTGTTCATCTCCCTTTTCTTCATTGGCGGGGGGGGACGTAGTTCTGCGCCTAGGTAGTCACTCGGGCACCCCGGTGAGGTCAGCCGCACGTTCAGATCAAACCAGCTTTTATGCGCGGCCACTTCACCAGACAATCCATCTGTACTTAACATGGCAGCCGTCACAGTGCTTAGCGTGTAATTAATGAGCGTTGTTTGCGGTGAGGCCCTTCAGCCTATCATTTCACACCTGCGGCCAGCAAAGGAAAATAGAAGTTGTGTTGTCCTATCGTGTTGTTTGTGTATCATTGCCTCCTTTAATATCCTCTCCGGATAATGTCCTCCATGATCATGTCAGGGCTCCAGAGCAGTAGGCAGCTTCTGTGTGTACAGATTGAATGTCAAGCACTCATTGTGGTTGGATGTTCATGCTGGAAGTTCATAATAGGTCTCTGTTTTCATGTTGGGATGCATGTCACATAACCCCCCCCCCCCCCCCCCCCCCCCCCCCCCCCCCACCACCCCCCCCCCCCCCCGTTAGGAGCTCACCATCCAAGTCTACCGAGTGCTTGATGGTTTCCCTGGGTTGTCGTCGTACATTGTGTTGTCGGAAGACCTGCTGTGACAGTCGCTCTCTAAAATCTCCCTTGAGGCTCTCCTCTCTCTGCCGGTGCTTCCTCTGTGACTCCTTTGCCCATGGCCTCCTCTGCATCCCTTGTCAGCTATATTTCCAGCCTCCAGGTGTGTGTACCTGCACACTGTGTTCATTCTCCTTTAAAACCACACCAAACTTTGGGGTCTGGTTGCCCATTGTAGTGTGTAGGGCTTTATGGGGCGATTCAGTTTAAGTCTTCCCAGTATGACCACATGGTGGATCCTACCTGTCTGACCCTCCCAGTATGACCACATGGTTGACCCTACCTGCTTGACCTTCCCAGTATGACCACATAGTTGACCCTACCTGTTTGACCCTCCCAGTATGACCACATGGTTGACCCTACCTGCTTGACCTCCCAGTATGACCACATGGTTCACCCTACCTGTTTGACCCTCCCAGTATGACCACATGGTTGACCCTACCAGCTTCACCTTCCCAGTATGACCACATGGTTGACCCTACCTGTTTGGCCCTCCCAGTATGACCACATGGTTGTCCCTACCTGCTTGACCTTCCCAGTATGACCACATGGTTGACCCTACCTGCTTGACCTTCCCAGTATGACCACATGGTTGACCCTACCTGCTTGACCTTCCCAGTATGACCACATGGTTGATCTTACCTGTTTGACCTTCCCAGTATGACCATATGGTTGACCTTACCTGTTTGACCTTCCCAGTATGACCACATGGTTGACCTTACCTGTTTGACCTTCCCAGTATGACCACATGGTTGATCTTACCTGTTTGACCTTCCCAGTATGACCACATGGTTGATCTTACCTGTTTGACCTTCCCAGTATGACCACATGGTTGACCTTGAGCTCTGTCTGCCATGCTCCTGGGCACTTTCCATGTTTCATCTTTCAACTATTTAATGGTGGTTGAACCATCTTGAGTTCCCCCGATCAATATTTTGGGCTATGAAGAATGTAGAGGTTTTTGCACTCCCAAAGTGCATTGTCTTGTGAATGACTACCATTATTGTAGGACCAAAGTCCGAAGACTCCCACGTCTTTGTGCTGATGTTCTCATTGGACTTTTTACAAGTGGACCCCAAACTTTGGGTCCCCCAGTTTGGCGTACCCTATTTGTTCAGAGGGCAGCTTCACTGGAGCCAATCCTGTTCCTACAGTACATACATCCATGCCATGACCTTATTGACGTTTTTTGTACTCCAACCTTTGTCCTATGTTTTGATTTTGATGCACAGTTTTTGCATCTCATTGTGACTCCTGGGCCCTGGCACAACCCAACTCTGATCATTTCTCACACTTTGGTGACGTCTGGTCCTGGCTGGTTAGACCCTCACTAGTATTTCAACCACTTACACCAGCCTTGTTGGGTTCTGGCCACTTAGCACAGGATCCATAGCCTGCCACATAAGTACCTGAGGGGGACCTGGACCAGAAAGGATGCTGCCATCGAGCTAGATTCACACCAGCCCATGCTTTGAAAAGCGATCCCTTGTCAGGCGACTCTCCTGAATGCCTGTTTTTTTTTTTTTTGGCAAGCAGAAATTTACAATAGGGCTCCACTGACAAGTAAATTTCAAATTTGTGGAGGCCATGGCATGTGAACAATTTCTTCCGGGATATTCAGCCACCTGTTTTTACCGCTTCCTGGGCCGTTCAGGTGAGAGAGGCTGAAAGAGCTACTGAGCATGTGCTGATGTTCATATTGAATACAAACTCCAACTTTTTATTATGGGGGACAACTTTCAGAGCCAAGATGTTAGGCAAATGAAGCCCCGGGGCCCTAGCACTGCCATGTCTATTCATTTTGGTGATTTTGACCGTAAAAACAAACAAACAGAACCAGGGGCGGACTGACAACTCATGGGGCCCCTGGGCAATAAGAGATCATGGGGCCCCTGTGTCCTCACTCACACTCAAACCACACCCAAAAAAGCCTATGAAAGGTACCAGCGGCATCTCATGGGGCCCCCTACTGACCCTGGGCCCTCGGGCAGTGCCCTAGTTCCCGAATGGTCAGTCCGCCCCTGAATAGAACTCCGTACCCAGACGGCCTCCTGAGCTTACAGTGCCCCCTCTACAGTCACAAAAACACTTCCTGGGGCCCAATCTTTTACTTTTAAATATCAAGCTCAATAAAGGATGAAGGTAGTTGGCTCCAAAAAATGGAATCCAATGTAAATCCTCAATCAGTTCCAACTATATTTATGGCCAAGCAATCAGAGTGGATGAAATGAGTCCGAGGGTCCAGGATTAGCATGGTGCATCTCCATAGAAGGCCCTTAAACAGCTGCCAACACCATAATAAAGATATTACGGACAATGGCGCATACGTCTAGTGTGACAACGTTACTTTAATCAAAATAAAATCCCAGAATTAGATGCACTCAGGTCAGTGTAACAATAGGCCCAACCTGCAACCCTCTGAGTGGAATCCAGGAGCCCATCTGCCATGGCCATTGGTGGCACGTATTGCTGAACCTCATCCAAGGACCAGTGATCAGTAAAAATGAGACCTGCTATCACGTGTTCCAAAGGGGCATTTTTGTAGCCAAGATTGGTTAGCCCTTCCGCCTTGCAGCACTGGGGTCCTTAGTTTAAATCCAAGCCAGGTCATCATACGCATGGAGTTTGCATGCTTTCCCTGTGCTTTTGTACGTTTTCACTGGTCAATGTGGTTTCCTTCCACACCCCAAGGACCTGCTGGTAGGTTAAATGTCTCCAGTCTACCTGGGTCCTAGTATGAGTATATATGGGACATAGGGACCTTAGATTGTAAAGTTTTGTTTATGAAAAATCTTACAAACAACATAATAAAAACATATTTACATATATATATATATATATACAGTGGGGATCAAAAGTTTGGGCACCCCAGCTAAAAATTTGTATTAATGTGCATAAAGAAGCCAAGGAAAGATGGAAAAATCTCCAAAAGGCATCAAATTACAGATTAGACATTCTTATAATATGTCAACAAAAGTTAGATTTTATTTCCATCATTTACACTTTCAAAATAACAGAAAACAAAAAAATGGCATCTGCAAAAGTTTGGGCCCCCTGCAGAGTTAATATCTTGTACTGCCCCCTTTGGCAAGTATCACAGCTTGTAAACGCTTTTTCTAGCCAGCCAAGAGTCTTTCAATTCTTGTTTGAGGTATCTTTGCCCATTCTTCCTTACAAAAGTCTTCCAGTTCTTTGAGATTTCTGGGCTGTCTGTCACGCACGGCTCTTTTAAGGTCTATCCATAGATTTTCAATGATGTTGAGGTCAGGAGATTGTGAAGGCCATGGCAAAACCTTCAGTTTACGCCTCTTGATGTAATCCCCCGTGGATTTCAAGGTGTGTTTAGGATCATTATCCATTTGTAGAAGCCATCCTCTCTTTAACTTCAGCTTTTTCACAGATGGCATCAAGTTACCATACAAAATTTGCTGAAATTTTATTGAATCCATTTTTCCTTCTACTCGTGAGATGTTCCCTGTGCCACTGGCTGCAACACAACCCCAAAGCATGATTGATCCAACCCCATGCTTCACAGTTGGACAGAGGTTCTTTTCATTAAATTCTGTGCCCCTTCTTCTCCAAACGTACCTTTGCTCATTCCGGCCAAAAAGTTTAATTTTAACCTCATCGGTCCACAGAAATTGTTTCCAAAATGCATCAGGCTTGTCTATATGTTCATTTGCAAATTTCAAACGGTGATTTTTGTGGTGAGGACGTAGAAGAGGTTTTCTTCTGATGACTCTTCCATGAAGACCATATTTGTACAAGTATCTCTTTATAGTGGAAGAGTGTACCACAACTCCAGTGTCTGCCAGATCTATCTGGAGGGATTGTGCAGTCAAACGTGGGTTTTCAATTATTTTTCTCACAATCCTGCGAGCTGTTCTGTCTGATATTTTTCTTGGTCTTCCAGATCTTGCTTTAACTTCCACTGTTCCTGATGACTGCCATTTCTTAATTACATTCCGAACAGAGGATATTGACATCTGAAAACGCTTTGCTATCTTCTTATAGCCTTCTCCAGCTTTGTGAGCGTCAACTATTTTCAGTTTCAGTTTTCTAGACAACTGCTTAGAAGAACCCATGGTGCTGATTGTTGGGGCAAGGTCAGATGAGTCGGGGCATTTAAAACCTTTGAGATTGACATCATCTGGTCTTCCCAGACGATGATTGAGAACAATCCATGACACTGGCAAGTCTCAGCTTTGCAAAGGGGGCAGTGCATGCTATAAATTCTGCAGGGGGCCCAAACTTTTGCAGATGCCATTTTTTTGTTTTCTGTTATTTTGAAAGTGTAAATGATGGAAATAAAATCTAACTTTTGTTGACATATTATAAGAATGTCTAATCTGTAATTTGATGCCTTTTGGAGATTTTTTTCCATCTTTCCTTGGCTTCTTTATGCACATTAATACAAATTTTTAGCTGGGGTGCCCAAACTTTCCATCCCCACTGTATATACCTTAGATTGTAAGCTCCTTGGGGGCAGGGACTGAGGTTACATAGTTGCATAGTTAATCTGGCTGAAAAAAGACAAAAGTCCATCCAGTTCAACCATTAACTACTTCCAGTCCGGACGCTTCCACCCCCCTTCCAGTCCAGACGCTTTCCCCCCCCTTCCAGTCCGGACACTCCCCCCCCCCCTTCCAGTCCGGACTCTTTCACCCCCTTCCTGTCCGGACACTCCCCCCCCCTTCCAGTCCAGACGCTTTCCCCCCCCCTTCCAGTCCGGACACTCCCCCCCCTTCCAGTCCGGACGATCCCCCCCTTCCAGTCCGGACGCTTTCACCCCCTTCCAGTCCGGACGCTTTCACCCCCTTCCAGTCCGGACGCTTTCACCCCCTTCCAGTCCGGACGCTTTCACCCCCTTCCAATCCGGACGCTTCCCCCCCCTTCCAGTCCGGACGCTCCCCCCCCCCTTCCAATCCGGACACTTTCACCCCCTTCCAGTCCGGACACTTTCCCCCCCTTCCAGTCCGGACACTTTCCCCCCCTTCCAGTCCGGACACTTTCCCCCCCTTCCAGTCCGGACACTTTCCCCCTCTTCCAGTCCGGACACTTTCCCCCCCCTTCCAGTCCGGACACTTTCCCCTCCTTCCAGTCCGGACACTTTCCCCCCCTTCCTGTCCGGTCACTTCCCCCCCCCCCTTCCAGTGTGGACACTTCCCCCCCTTCCAGTGCGGACACTTTCCCCCCCTTTCCAGTGCGGACACTTTCCCCCCCTTCCAGTCCGGACACTTTCCCCCCCTTCCAGTCCGGACACTTTCCCCCCCCCACTTCCACTCCGGACACTTTCCCCCCCCCCTTCCAGTCCAGACACTTTCCCCCCCCCCTTCCAGTCCGGACACTTTCCCCCCCTTCCAGTCCGGACACTTTCCCCCACTTCCACTCCAGGCCAATTTTCAGCTTTCAGCGCTATCACACTCTGAATGACAATTGTGCAGTCATGCAACACTGTACCCATATTTTGAGACAGATAAAGCTTTATTTGGTGGTATTTATTCACCGCTGGGATTTTTTATTTTTTTGCTATATAAATGAAAAAGTCCAAACATTTTGAAAAAAAGTGTTTTTCTTATAAAATTTTGCAAATAAAGAATATTTCATCATAAATCTCGGCCAAAATGTATTCAGTTATCTTTTTAGTAAAAAAAAAAAAAAAAACCCAAATTAGTTTATAACCAAAAATTATAATTTATGTTTTTTTTTTTACATACTGTCACCCTAGCAGTACAGTCACCATGGTGACACTGTACTACTTGTGGGGGGTAATGAAGTTTTTTTTTTTTTTTTTTTTTTTAACACCGATTGCTTTTACACCCATAAAAGCTGTAAAAGCAATCATTTTTTCCTCTCTGGCTGCATTCCTGCAGCCATTGAGAAAAAACTGTGAGAGCTGTGATTGGTCACAGCTTGTCACATGGTACAAGGCCGTTGTGAATAGCCCTGTACCATGTGATCTCTGTGATCATTCACAGATTTCACACATAGTAAGCAATGATGTCAGAAGTGACATCTTGCTTACTACTCTGCATGTGATCACTGATTGGCCAATCGATGATTGGTGTTCCACTGTGGCCAGAGGACACAGCGGGCACCGGATCGCGGTGCTGCGCGCTCCCAGGGAGTGTGTACAAGCAGGGGGCGGGGAGGCCGTTTATAAACAGCCACCCTCCCCTGCACTGCCACTGTCTGGCCGTTTATATACAACGGCCGGACGGGTGGTTAAAAAAAAAAAAAGTTATAATCCTATACCCACCGTTGATCCAGAGGAAGGCAAAAAAAAAAAAAACAGCAAAGCACAATCCAATTTTTTGTGAAGATGCAGTATGTAAAGTGCTGTGAGATTTGCTGGTGCTATATAAATACCTATAATAAAAAGACAGATGTTCTCCCTGTCCGCTCTCAGGGTCAGAGTAGTTAATCTCCCTGAAGAAGCCACATGTGCGGTGACAAAACGCGTAGGGGTTGGGACCTTGGAATGACGTCACCACACTTGTTTAAACAGTAAAGTAAACAGTAAAGAGGCGATATTGCACAAGATTACCGCATTCGCCATACATGCTGTGTATATTTGGTGTGATCTAGCACCTGGAACGACTGAGCGCATATTGATCGATTTGAAAGAGTTTATTAAATGTTTTGAGGATAAAGCACTATGTAGCGTTTTATTTCCATATGGGGGAGTGGATACTGAGGAGGAGGAGCCAGTGGAAAAGCTGTGAACGAGGTTTTTGGATACACTCAGGAGATCGTCATGGTCCATTTAAGAGACAAAAGGCTTGTTGAGAGCAAACATTTATTCTGAGGTCATAGAGTGGAGGTGAGCGAACATCTGGAGTGGTAGTCACTGGATATCATTGGACGTGGCACAAGGCGGTGGCACATATTGAAGAAATCGGACAGGTTTAATTCATGAATTCTAGAGGACTTATACAGTGAAGGAAATGTGTATTTGCCCCCCCCCCCCCTTGATGCTGAATGTTCGCCCCTCACACAGAAATGATCGGTCTAACAATGGAATGTTCGCCCCTCACACAGAAACGTTCGGTCTAACAATGGAATGTTCCCCCCCTCACACAGAAATGATCGGTCTAACAATGGAATGTTCGCCCCTCACACAGAAATGATCGGTCTAACAATGGAATGTTCGGTGTAACACTGAGAGACAGAATACAACAACAAATTCAGCAGAAATGCGTCTAACAAATGATGACGGATCTGCATGTTCATGAGGGAAAGAAGGATTTGATCCCCTATCATTCAGCAGGATTTCTGGCTCCCTGGTGTCTCTCATACAGGTAACAAGCTGAGATTAGAAGCAGTCTCTTAAAGGGAGTGCTGCTAATCTCATGTTACCTGTATAAAAGACACCTGTCCACAGGAGCCATCAAACCATCAGATTCCAAACTCTCCACCATGGCAAAGACCAAAGAGCTGTCCAAGGATGTCAGGGACAAGATGGTAGACCTACACAAGGCTGGACTGGGCTACCAAACTATGGCCAAGCAGCTTGGTGAGAAGGTGACAACAGTTGGTGCAATCATTCACAAATGGAAGAAACACAAAACAAGTGTCAGTCTCCCTAGGTCTGGTGCACCATGCAAGATCTCACCTCGTGGAGTGTCAATGATCATGAGAACAGTGAGGAATCATCCCAGAACTACACGTGAGGATCTTGTCAATCATCTCCAGGCAGCTGGGACCACAGTCACCAAGAAAACAATTGGTAACACACTACGCCGACAAGGACTGAAATCCTGCAGTGCCCGCACGGTCCCTCTGCTCAAGAAAGCCCATGTCCAGGCCCGTCTGAAGTCTGCCACTGAACATCTGAATGATGCCGAGGAGGACTGGTGGGAAGTGTTGTGGTCAGAGGAGACCAAAATCCAGCTCTTTGGCATCAACTCAACTCGCCGTGTTTGGAGGAGGAGGAATGCTGCCTATGACCCAAGAACACCATCCCAACTGTGAAACATGGTGGTGGAAACATTCTGCTTTGGGGGTGTTTTTCTGCTAAGGGAACAGGACAACTGCACCGCATCAAAGGGACAATGGACAGGGCAATGTACCCTCAAATCTTGGGTGAGAACCTTCTTCCCTCAGCCAGGGCATTGTAAATGGGTGGTGGATGGGTGTTCCAGCATGACAATGACCCAAAACACACGGCCAAGGCAACAAAGGAGCGGCTCAAGAAGAAGCACATTAAGGTCCTGGAGTGGCCTAGCCAGTCTCCAGACCTTAATCCGATTGAAAATCTGTGGAGGAGCTGAAAGTTCGAGTTTCCAAACGTCAATCACCAAACCTTAATTACTTGGAGAGGATCTGCCAAGAGGAGTGGGCCAAAATCCCTCCTGAGATGTGTGCGAACCTGGGGGCCAACTCCAGGAAATGTCTGACCTCTGTGATTGCCAACAAGGGATTGGTCACCAAGTACTAAGTCATGTTTTGTGAAGGGGATCAAATACGCATTTCCTTCACTGTATATATTTTTTTTTTGGGATCTAGTAGTATTTATGAATGTCTATACCAGCAATGGGCAAACTACGGCCCGGCGGACCTTTTAATCCGGCCCGCGGAGCTAGGCTCCTCTCACAGTCTGCCCTGAAGACCGGTGTAGCATGAAAATCTGTCTCCTATGAGGATCTGTCCCCCTCGACGTATCTGCTGCTAATGCCTGAAACTGGCACATGCGCAGATACGTCGAGGGGGACAGATCCTCATAGGAGACAGATTTTCATGCTACACTGGAACGGCGCAGGAACATGGCGAGAGGAACGCGCGGAGCAAAGGTAAGTGAATTGACACAGGGGGGACTTAATATGGGGGATGAATTACTATATGGGGGATGAATTACTATGGGGGATGAATTACTATATGGGGGATGAATTACTATATGGGGGATGAATTACTATGGGGGATGAATTACTATATGGGGGATGAATTACTATATGGGGGATGAAATTATTATGGGGGATGAATTACTATATGTTGGATGAATTACTATATGGGGGATGAATTACTATATGGGGGATGAATTACTATGGGGGATGAATTACTATATGGGGGATGAATTATTATGGGGGATGAATTACTATATGGGGGATGAATTACTATATGGGGGATGAATTATTATGGGGGATGAATTACTATATGGGGGATGAATTACTATATGGGGGATGAATTACTATATGGGGGATGAATTACTATGGGGGATGAATTACTATAGGGGGGATGAATTACTATATGGGGGATGAATTACTATAGGGGGGATGAATTACTATAGGGGGGATGAATTACTATATGGGGGATGAATTACTATTGGGGGGATGAATTACTATATGGGGGATGAATTACTATATGGGGGATGAATTACTATGGGGGATGAATTACTATATGGGAGATGAATTACTATATGGGGGATGAATTACTATATGGGGGATGAATTACTATATGGGGGATGAATTACTATATGGGGGATGAATTACTATGCTTACTATGGGGGAATATTACTATACTTACTATGGATGACACATACACATCATTCATCTACTCTTGGTCCGGCCCCCGGGTCCAATATATGAACCCATTGCGGCCCTCAAGTCAAAATGTTTGCCCACCCCTGGTCTCTATACACTGTGTTATGAGAGACGGGAATACGTTATTTCCAGTAATCGGCACATATGTGGTTATATTGGGTCTTCCACCAAAGCAACGCCTTGACAAAGGGCTATTCCACCCCGAAACGCGTTGCCTTGTCGACAGATTGCTCAGCTTAGGAAGTGGGAGAAAATAGGCTCCACCCTCCTGGTTGCAAGACGCCATGACACAGGTCTTACGTCTATTCCCTGATTCCTCGGAACTTATTGCACGCGTCCGGATCGTTTTCCTTCTTTCTAAAACCACATAATGTGAGCACAGCCAACCTTCTAGAATGTATTTACGACACACTCCTGGAAGAAGAAGACAAGAGGGGATAAAGCTGTAACTTTTCTGTTCTTTTAGTTAAAAAAAAAAAAAAGAAGTGAGGAAAAAAAACAAACAAACCTCCAAATACATATCTGTGTGA